TCTGCAAAGCAGGATGTTAAATGCTGCAGAGCTGCTTCTGTGTGGGCAACAAGGGCAGCTTCATCAGCATAAAGCAGCTCCCAGACAAGATGGTTTAAGGTCTTGGTGTGGGCCTTCAGTCGCCTGAGGTTGAACAGGCTTCCATCAGTACGGTATCGAATGTAGATACTGTCCTGATCCTCGAGGTCTGCCGTGACCCTTTGGAGCATCGTGCTGAAAAAGACTCTGAATAGGGTTGGTGCAAGAATGCAGCCTTGTTTCACACCATTGGTTATTAGAAAGGGCTCAGAAAGTGCATTGCCATATCTGACTTGGCCATGCTGATCCTCATGAAGTGAGATGATCATTTTGAGGAACTTGGGGGGGACAACCTAAACGTTCCAAAATCTGCCACAGACCTTTTCTGCTCACAGTATCAAAAGCCTTGGTGAGATCAACAAAGGTTACATAGACACCTTTCTTCTGTTCCCTACACTTCTCTTTCAGTTGTCTGAGAACAAATACCATGTCTGTGGTACTCCTGTTGGCTCTGAAACCACATTGGCTTTCAGGTAGAATTCCTTCTGCTATAGCAGGTATTAGTCTGTTTAAGAGTATTCTTGCCAGACTCTTCAAATTCAAATTCAGACTGTTCAAATTACCATGGTATTACTCTGCTCTCCATTGCTGGCAAAATCCTGGCAAGAATCTTAGTTGTAGTCTGTGCTGAAATATCAGCATATGCTGTTAGCTGAGACTCAGTTGTAAGGAAGCCTGACACAACTCTTGACATTATTATGTGCTATAAAAAAGAAATTATATGAGGCCATTTCATACTGAATTGGTACCCTTTGACAGACACCACCAGTGCTCTTCATGACTGCTCTGTTAACCAGGTAAAGCTGTAGATTGCCTCAGTGTGAGTCTTTATCTTTTCATAGTGTTCTCAAGGGGATACACTGCTGCTCCACTAACAGTTATAAGTTATGCTAAGGAAATACATTCTTACTTTTCCACCTGACACAGGTGAAAAAGTACCTTGGAATGAATGTACAGTTTTCACCACATGTAGTGGTAAAACAGGGTCATCTGTGAGGGACCTGAGAACTCAACTTGTGTCCTTTATGTATCTTTTGCAAAGCTTGGAACCTGCTTTTATATAAGGGTTTGTTTAAAAAAATACTAACTGATTAAGCAATGCATTTATTACAGGTCTTTAGACATTTATATAGGCAGACATTGAATGAGTGTGTGTAGTAAATTACCTAATGTTGTCCTTTTTAATTTAAAGGTTGTTAAAGGAGATGGGCTGGCAGGAAGACAGTGAAAATGATGAGACATGTGCCCCACTAACAGAGGATGAGATGAGGGAGTTCCAAGTCATTAGTGAACAGGTAACACTAACTTAATGTTGCATTGTAAACTAGTGGTTGGCTACCCTAAATGCGTACCTTTCAGGAGGATCTGCAGTAGTTTTGATGGTTTGTGATGTTGCTCTTCCAGTATCATTTCAGTCCTGTGCTTTTGGAAGTAAAGTTGCTTTAAAAACACAGGGTGCCAGTGCTGACTGTACCTAAGGACTTTTCACAAAATATCAAGGGAAGGGTAAGGGAGTGCTTCTGAGCGGTTTCAGCATTGCTACAAAGTAGAATTGCATAGGCTTTCCAGCTCCTCAACTTAGCCTAAAGAAAAAGAATCTTCTTTCAAGGCGGTTTCCTTGAGTACTCCAAAATCTTCATTTTCTTTCCTGGGAATCAAGAGACATTTAATTCATTTGTAACAACGTATGAAAGGGCAATCTAAACTGGATTTTGTCTTAATTGTTTATTTTTATTAGCAGTGTTGAGTATACCTGGTGGGGTCAGTGAGTAGGACTGGAAAGGAGAATCATGTGTGGTGTTAAACTCGGACATTTGATATTTCCATAAGTCTAGTTACACACATGCTTGTCTTATTACCCACCTTCTACATTATGTGTGGAAATGCAGTAATTCCTTTCTTGTTGTAGAATCAGTTGTTTACTTTCTCTTCAGTGTCTTTTACTTTCCAATGACATCAGGTAGACAGACTGGGATACTCATCCCTCACTGCTGCTCCTCTTCTGGGCCCCTTCCATATTGCAGATCCTGCCCTTCTTAGCACAGGTTTTCGCAGTGCTGTGGGAGAGGGGACTGCATTGCAGGAGACCATTTGGGAGGAGGCATCTCTGGGGCAGGGTGGGTGGGAAGTGGGTGAACTCTTGTTGGCTGCAGGAGTTTAGCACAGTTGGAAGTACTTGAATATAGGTGGCTGGCCTAGAAGTAAAGGTGCTCAGGGGAGTTCTCTTTTTTGTGTGTATATGAAAAGGTAGTGTTGTGGATCCAGTGTAGCCCAGGAATGAAGGTGTAGAGAATGTTGAATTGCAACAGATTGTTATGTTTGGCTTTTTCTTTCTCTAAATGTGTAATGTTTTCACATTTCAGTTACAAAAAAATGGCCTTCGGAAAAATGGCATTTTGAAAAATGGCCTCATCTGTAATTTTAAATTTAGCCCCTGGAAAAACAACACTTTCAAACCTGCTCTGGAGAATGAGGATTCTGAGACGAGCAGCAGTGATACATCAGATGATGATGATGTATGAAGACTTATGTAACACCTGTAGAAGCCCGTTTTTTCCTCATGGAGACTGGGGATGTGTTATCCAAAAAAAAATAATTCTAATTTATGTAATAACATGCCCAGTAGAGAACGAATGATGGGACTTTCCTCTGAAGGAAGCTAAGAATGTTTTGTTAGGTGTGTTGAAAATCACTATAATTTATCTGTAAACAGATGTTGTAGAATGAGGTGTTGGGTTGACCCAGCATTGACTTTCATCACTGAAACATTTCTGACTAGCAATGTGACAATGATATAAATCAGACTTTCTCAATTAATAATAAAAGCGAAGAATTGTGTAATGTCTTGCAAAGCTTCTGTCTTAAAATGTCTGAGAAAAAAAGGGCAGCTCGACACAGCGTTTTGCTTGCCAGCTCATTTCTTTCTTACAGTGGAAATCATTGAGTCCACTCTGTACGCAAAAAGGGCAATGTAGCATGTTGGCTCAAATGAGCAAAGTGCACTAAACCTCTTTTCCTTAACTGAGCTGTTGAACTGTTCTACTTCCACAAATAACTGCTCTTTAGCCACTTGTAGTGTCGTTGTTGTTATTAATGGCAAAGGACCCTGATGTTACAGTTCCAAATTTTTAGAATTCACCTTTGAATTGAAAGCTTTAAAGAGTATTGCAAGACCCTTATTCTCACAGTGAAAACATTTCTTATGGGAAAACAGCGTGATTTTACTATTCAACATGCAGAAAAATCATTACACTGACTGGATTTGTCCACTACATGGGAAATAAACTGATTTACAGAGTGTTGTCTCAGTGCTTAGCATCATGGGTATTGTTTTTAAATCTGCTAAGTTTTGTTTTCATTTATATTAAATGTACTCTGGCATCAATGGCTGCCTTTCAGAATGAGGTGAAAATACTTTCATCACATATCTTGCTTTTATAGCACCAGAATTATATCTGTGCAATAACCACTTGTTTTGCTTATTTTTTGTCAGACTTTTTATTTATGGTTGCACATTTAAAAACCAATATTGTATTATTTATAGTTTTATTTGGTTTATTTTAGCTGTTTAAATATTTTCCACAGTTTTACAGGCTGTGTAGCATTAATTCATAAGCACAACTGCTCTCAGTGATGTCATATATGTTTATAACATAGCTTATATATATATATAGACATTCCCCTTCAAGATATTTTTAAATTGTACTATTTCTTATAGGAAATTATTTGCAATTTAAAACTCTAAAGCAAGCAAAAATATTTATAAAGTTGAAATTTTGGCCATATTTCTTTAGGAAACTACTTTTTTTTATAAGGTGGCATCAATTTTAGGCCAAAGTTAGTATGTTTCTCTTTTTATTTATTATTAATTTAAATAGATATTTCTATTCAAGAGGTCAATTTTTGTATTAGAACGGGCATGCAAATGTTGATGTAGTTAATTTTAGCATGGTGCATTGAAATACTCCATTTTCTGATCTAAATTTAACAGGATAAAAATGTTTCTTTTTTAAAGAGAAAACTGCCATATCAGTAATGAAGTCTTTCCTACCTGCGTGCCCTACACACCTTTCTCCTTTCCCTCTTGCAGTTTTTTTTTACTAACTTTGACACCTTGGTGTAGTTTGTTCACTTTTTGGTTTTCACATACTATCAACAGGATATTCTGCCTATCCTAATTATGTGGTAGTATGTGAATGTGCTACTTTTAATACTAAGTAAAAACGTTTTTGCCTTGGTGTTTCTCAAAGTGGAATGTAGACTCTTCACCCCCTCTTTATTCAGTTTAGTAACAAGTGTCACTTCTGTAATTAACCCTTTGGGAAGATAATGTAATTATATAAGAATTGTGTTATAATTTTATAGACTTAGGAAACTTAGAAGTTGGAACTGAGAGAGGAAGTTCTCTTCAGAGAAAATAGAAATTCTAGTTATACTTGGTACTTCTTTTTTGCTAGTTTATATCCTGAAACTGGTAATGGAAGGAATGGTTATAATGAGCTGCGAGCAGAGGAGGTAACAGGAGTTGGGCCATGGTTTTACTTTGTAGAATGAAACACCTTTATAGCCTTTGTAACTTTTTTGTTAGTGTGTGGCTTCTTCACTGGTGTGTGCTGATAGTTTTGGATTAATTTCTAGTCCTGTACAGTGGTCTGTTATGCCAGTTCAGAGACCTGACAGAGGTCTGCGTAGTCTCTAGTTTAAATGGTTATCTGCCTGCTCTGTTATTTCTGTTTTCCCTTCACAGCAGTGTGGAAGTGGGTAAGGTTTGTTATTTCCACCAAGGAGTTGGATTGCCTTCTGTTGTATTTACTTATGGCAAAGCTGTGTGTTCATCTTCTTTTGTGTCACTTTAAGAAACTCTTTCTTTAGTCACTCACTGTGGAACTCTTTTTCAGTTTTTTTATTTTCCTGGGAGATGTCACTTGAAACAATGTTTGGTTTTCATTTCTTACTTCCATAAAATATGTGAAAGTATTTTATTGCACTGTTCCCTGCCCTTTTGTTCAGTGCTTGATGAGATAAAGCAGAATGAAATCTGATTCTCTAGCATTTAACAATAGAACTTTATCCTGACTTTGTTCCTTTCCCAGGGCAATTTTAGTAGTTAATTGACCTTTTTCTTCTCTCATATGTAAACCATGATCCACTCCCAGGATAAATCCTCTCTTGTTTTTTTGCTTGAGCAAATGTCTGCCTTCAAGGCTTAAGAAGGTGGTGACAAAGCTTGCCCATTGCCATGGTAGGTACCAGTAAGCTTTGAATGGTAAAGAATGTCTGCTGGAGATAGTTTGTCAGTACTGAGTTGAAAGAGCTTGACTTTATTGATGGTAATGACTGATTGCTGTGCACAGACATGGCACAGCTGTGTGGTTTGCAGTCCCTACCATTTCTCTTCATCATCCTGGCGTTATTGGCAGGGAAGCATCCGTTCCTGGTTCCCCGTTCCAACTCTCTTCAAAAGCGAAGAGGAGTGATAAGTCATAGATTTTTCTCATCTGCTATTGATGGGGGACGTGCCCTCTGCCTGCTGCTGGTGTTGAGGGGGTACCTCTGTTTATGGTGGGGAGCTGGGACTCCTTTACTTCATCTAGGATGACTAGAGGCCTCCATCACTGACTTGTGTGGGGTCTTCCTCTCTGTTAAGGAGGAATAGATGTCGTTATCTTTCCTGAAAAGAGTGTTAACTACAGTTAGGGTGTCCACTGATTCATATTGGATCCAGTCAAAATTCTGAAGAAGATTTTTATGGTCATCCCAGTTCTTTGAGAAATGTTACCAAATGTGAAGGAAATTAGGGTTTATTCCCCCATGCAGTTGCCTGTGGAGGAAAAAAAAAATCTACTTGATTTGTGATGGGGACCTCAACTTTAGTGTTTCTTCTTTAAGGAATATCTGTTCTACAGTAAATACATTTAAACTGTTGGCTGCTAGAAACTGGAAGGAGTTTAGTCAAGGATGTCTTTGTTTTCCCTTTTTCTCTTTTCTGCTGGGCACCGGTTGAAGCAGTATAGTCAGCTGCAGGGAACTTTTGCTCTGATTAAGAATTATTGCACTTGTGCACCAAGAATTACTGGCTCATTAGGGTAATAAATGTGTTGACTAGCTGGTCAACTTTCCTTATGCTGTCAACTTTCCTCCTCTGAGCTGTTGTTTTTAGTCATCAGTGAGCTTTATTGCACAATGAATGAGTCTGTTTCATGCCCTGGATATCTGCAGCCTTCCCTAGAGGTGTGTTCTGTGCATCTCTAGGAAATGGTTTTGCTAAACCAGCACTAGGAGTGATCTGCAGAGCAGTCTGGCTCTGGGTGAAGCACAGGGCAGTGTCAAAAACTCTTCTGTCTCAGGAGGTTTGCGCTTCCTCAGAGATTTGTAAGCAGCTTCTAGGGTCTTTCTCTTAGTGGGTTGCAGTCTGGAAAAGATCTTCAGACAGGCTCAGGAAAAACTGATACCTTAAACCAGTTTGTCAGTAGAAGGTACTGCTGCTTCTGAATGCAATGCCTACCAAAGTCTGTTTTGTCACAGTCTCTTGTGCAGATCAGATCATCTGATGGGTGTGTGAGCTCTCACAGGACCTATAGTGGCACGCATTTCTTGAATTCCTTACCTGAGAGTAAGCTCGATAAAGCAAATAGCAGGTCATGACGTGCAGCTATGATCCTGCTTACACTACCATGGTGTCTTTGGTATGGTGGCTTCCTTAGGATTCTTTTTCCTTCTGTGTGGTAGCTTGATGTCTGGGGGCTCTGTGCTATTGTAATCTTTGCATCTCCCATCTCCCATTGCTTCCTGCTGAAGACTGCTGAAGTTCTACCATCTTTATCAAGTCATGGAGCTCCTATCTGAGCTCAGTGCATCGTGGATGGGTGAAAAATGATAGAGCTTTGAGTAATTTAGCATACATGTGCACACACTGTGTTGCATACATGTGCTCTGTTACAATTTGAATGCAATACAAGGGGACATTGTAGAATTGTCAGCAATAATCTATTTTCTGTGCTTGCCATTTGTACCTGTTGGTGTTAGTGGTGGTTCTTGTCATGAGTATCACATTCTTTCCTGCCCAGGGTATACAGGACTTAAATTACAGCCGGGCTGAAGGGCCTCTTCCTCAATTATCAGGTTCACTTCTTTTCCCTACAACATTGCTTTAGGTAACAAGGTACACTGTTTGGAAGTATAATGTTGGAAATGAGGTGGTCTGTAAGGAATTGACATATACTGTTAGCAGCCAGCTGAATCAAGCCACCGTTCATGCAAAGCTTGACTACCAAAAGCTGAGAAATAGTTCTGTCTGCATTGGAAGGCTGTTTCAGATAGAAACTCAAGTATGAATGTAAATTACACAGATACTTTACTAAATCCTCACATGAATATTTATTTTTCTTTGCTTCAATTTCTTATATTGTCCATCTCCAAAGGGGGCATGCACAAATGATCTTTGTACAGAATAAATACATTTTCATAGTTGAGATTAATGAATTAGTTATTTTGAAAATGTGGTTTGGAAGGATCTGAATGTTTCAGTTAAACTATAAATTAGTATTATTTAATTCTTAGTCTTTTATTTTATAAACTGCTAAATAACAAACACAGTATTGCAGGTGAAACTGGTGATACTGGCTCTGGTTATGGCTACCTTTTGCTTCCAGTGGAAGGATCTGTTCACCATCAATTAACTGCCAAATACGCTATGGAACCAGTTTTCCCTGGCTGACCAAGTCACTCGGGATGCAGCTGCAGGGTGGGAGAGCCCAGCAGATATGTTGAAGGCAGCCACGACCCTGGAGAACTCAATGGCGGAAGAGGGAAAGGAAATTTTAGTGACAAAGATCAATGGAAGCAAATGGGCTCATAATTCTGAAAAGAAAGGTCTGCAATATGTTTCTATCCTAATCATGTGGTGACAGTCTTGTGTTCTGCTTCCAGGGAAGTGTTCCTCCCTGCCTCTTTAGGGGCTGGTCTTGTGCTAGAAGATTACAGCCAACATTTGGTCCATGTGATGATCCCAAATTATGCAGTTGCATTGTAAGAAAGTCAGCATCTCAGGTGGTTCATGTAGGAGTTTGATGTGGTTCTTTTATTCCTTGTCTGGTTTGTTTTTTGTTGTTTTTTTTTTTTTTTGCTTTAATGTTGAGAGAACATAAAGCTGGTCAGGACATGCTAGGTTTAACAATGATCAAGCAAGATGTTGATTTTAGTGGATGTTTCTGCAAATTTTTATTTTAACCTTGGTAATTTACTCACTTGAAGAAAATGGACCATACTGTGGGCTAATCACAAGGATACAAAGATAAGGTAATACTG